TAAGATAGGATCGCAACCTCAGCAACTTAGAAGACCCTCTCTCAAGAGAGAAAATTTTAAAAAGAGCTAGGGATATGGTTAAGTGCCCCGGGCTTCAATCCCCAGTACAAAATAAATAAATGAGAGAGGGCTAGAGATATGGGTCAGTGGTAGTCTGCTTGTCTGGCATGCAGGAGTCCCTGAGTTCTATTCCCAGCAATGCAAAAATATATTAATAAGTGAGAGACAGGGAGGATCTTGTGGTAGATATGGAAGGAGGGCTAGAGTTGGAAAATCATCACTTTGCAGATGAATTCAGGCAAGAATTATCAATAGATGCTAAATCCAGGGGGAAATTTTTGATGAGTAGAAAAATATTTGCATGGATTTATAATTCTCCCCACAGGTTGTTCATTAGTAATAAGGAAGTAGAAGAAAGGCTAGTAACTATATAATGGAGAAACTGAGCAACAAATTGGCTCAAAATAAGAAGATTGTATTTTTTAAAATAGGACTGCAAAAAGATCAACATCATAAAAAGCAAAGAAAGTGATCCTAGGCTAGATCCTGTACTGCAAGGGAAAATGCCCACATAGAATGTTATCAACACATTAAAAAATATTGTTAACAATGTGAAATTTACCAAAGTTGATAACTAGCTGTGGTTATGTAAAAGAAAATCCTTTTTATCTGTATGTATGGTGTGCAAAAACAAATGATAAATGAATTGGGGCCAAATGTTATCAATTGGTGAATCTGGGTGGAGAATACTTAATTTCAAATAAATCATTTGAAAACACAAAAGTTCCCTGTGCTGGTCAAGAACATAAATCAAGCTGCCTCTTAATCACTTTTTATTCAGCCCTTTACTGGGACCTCTGGGAGGCTATAAATGATGCCTTTACTCTTAGGAAGTTTAACATCTCTCAAGGAGGGAAGTCCCTCAAACAAGAAGCAGAGGAGGCTATACAAGATCAACTAGGAATTTTGAAAATGGAGAAGAAATCAGGATAGGTGGATGAGATTAAGAAAGGTTGCATGGAGAAGCAGGGCATAAGCCTCAAAGGGAGGATTTTAAATCAGTAGAGGATATTACATACAGAGACAGCAATTTGAATAATTATGGGAGAGGCTTGTGCAGAGACTAAATGGCCTGGAATGGAGAATAGGGGTTAGGAACTATTGGAAAATATGATTGAGTAGACAAGAGGAGGCCAGTCTGTAATATTCCTTAAGGGCAGTGTCTAACTAGATCTCATACCAAAGATTTTATTGAGCCCCAAACCAAGGTAAAAAATTTGACTCCAGTTCTGTCTTAGTTGCCATGATTTTCTGTAGGTATTGTGCCTAGGGCAAGAACTGCCCCCCCCCACCCCTGTACTGGGGATTGAACCCAGGGTTGCTCAACCACTGAGCCACATCCCCAGCTCTTTTTAAAAAATTTTTGAGACAGGGTCTGGCTAAGTTTCTTAGGACCTCGATAAGTTGCTGAGGCTGGCTTTGAACTTGTGATCCTCCTGCCTCAGCCTCCCAAGCCACTGGGATTACAGGTGTGCACCAGCACACCCAAATAGGCCAAGGACTTTCTAAAGTCCAAGTCAAACAAGCATAGAGGTAGTTCAAGTCTTAGATGGATACTGATGGAAGGTGCCAAAAATCACTTGAGATACTATTGTCCTAATGTGTAACTATTTCAAGGAGTGCCCACATTAAAAAACAATGGCCTTGCAAGAAAGCTGTCCTTTTAGCAAAGGCAAATCTTCCCAAGTGGGGAATTTCCAATAGGAAAGGACATTGCCTACTGGAGCATTTACTACTGGAGCCCTGATAGGCCTTTTTGAGGGTATTTGAGATTTAGTTTCTCTCCTTAGAAATGAATGATGGCATTTGCAGCTGCTCAGCAACTTTCCACCTCAGGAGAAGGCTCTGGTCACCACAACAGGCCCATATCCCACATCTATGCTCCAGCAAAATATTATGAAAATTTTAGTAAATTCAAACCAATTTTCCCCACTACCTTGTATTAAAACTCATCATTTGTCTTTTTCTTTTTTTAATATTTATTTTTTAGTTTTCGGCGGACACGTCATTGTTTGTGGTGCTGAGGATCGAATCCCGGACACACGCATGACAGGTGAGCACGCTACCGCTTGAGCCACATCCCCAGCCCTCATCATTTGTCTTCATTTCAAATTTCTTTTGAGAGGCCAGTTGCTTCTAGCACTTTTAGGTTCAGTGATGCACAAAATACGCCCCACAGGTGGAATATGGCCCCATTTTCTGTATTTGTATGACTCGTATGCTTACAACGTTTTTTACATTTTTAAAGGTTGAAAAAAAAATTAAGTAATTCATGCTATGTGAAAAATATATGAAATCCAAATTTCAGCATCTAAAGTAATGTTTTACTGGCACACAGCCAAATTCATCATTTTACACCGTATCTATGGCTATTTTCCTGCTATAGTGACAGGAGAATGGTTGTGGAGATCATATGGTCTACAAAGCCCAAAGTATTTGCCAACTGGCCCTTTACAGAAAGTTTGCTGACCCTCAGACTAAAGTAATGATTCTCAACATGGGATGACTCTTGGAAGCATTCTTGGTTGTCACAACTGTGTTTGTGTGTGTGTGTGTGTGTGTGTGTGTGTGTATGGGTAGAGGCCAGGGATACTGCTAAATACTCTACAATGCACCGGGGAGCCCCACACAATTAACTGGTCCCAGATTTCCATAGTGCTGTGATTGAGAAACCTGGGATTAGAGGACCCTAAGGTAAATACTTTCTCGTGCAGGGAAAACTCCATCCTTAATAAGGGATCCCCTTTATTGAATAACCGAGTCTATAACTTACGTTAGCACAGGTAGTCTTCATAACGCCTGTACGAGGGAATCAATGATATACCCCATTTCTAGAGAATCTGTGAAAACAACTTGCCTCTGAGGACACAGCAAGTCCTTCTGGCTCAAGTCTGTATTTTTCCACACCTCAGAACATGCCTCTGCTCTGTGACGTCACAGGCGATTATGGCCTCACTCGGCTGCCCCCTAGTGTTCGAAAAGCGCAGAAACAGGCCAATGTTGTTTCTTAAGGTATCCTGCAGAGGCCTCCAGACTTCCTTACAAAGGATGAGAACAGCTAGTCCAGTCTTCATTCAGCACCTGGCTATTAGGGGAAAAAAGCCTGAAGGAAATAAGCCTCACCTCGTTTGCAACCAAATTCTGTAAAGTGATCACTCTCCCTCTTGCCCACTTTAATTCCTGGGGGAATGGGAGGCTTCCCTCTCTGGTAGACCTAAAATACAGCCTACTATCTACAGAATGCTTTCTGGGTCATAAAGAACAGTCATATTCATGAATTTGGGGGAACGTTTGTATCACGAGATTAAATGAAAGAAGACATGCAGAGTTATTTTCCTTCTAGAATTAAACTCACCTGAATCTTGTTCCATAGGATGGGGCACTCCACTTTCTTCATCTGTTATCCCGATGATAATTAGGTCAACTGATTAGTTAAACCCATGCTAATAAAGTAGAAAACTCCCTGCTCATATCCACCCAGCCCCAGTGGGAATTTGAGGCTCAAATGGAGGAAAGATGGTGTTGTGGTAGCCCACCAAGGAAGATTTCATGGGCTCCTGGCTCCCCTGAGTTTCTCAAATTATCCATTTGGGAAGCAGCCACTCACTCTTCCTAAGGCAAACTGTGGTGAGCCACATGACCTAATAATTTAGGATCAGATCACAGAGCCATTTAGCATTTCTTTGAATTTTATTGAAAATTGACATGGACATTAGAAAGGTATCAAGCTAAACAGTGCTGGTTCTGGGATGTTTCTCTTGGAAAATGAAAGCCCCCAGAGGGGTAGTGACTGGTCACACCTTTGAGCAAAAAGAACAAAGAAGAAAGAAAAAACACAGATTCTGAAAAACATGCAAAGAGGCTCTCTCAAGAGACACTGGACAGTGGATCAGTAGTGATGGTGGTAGGGATATATGGGAATGAGCACACTCACACGGTATTTTGATGCAAATTAAACCAATGAATTCAAGGCAGATTTATCCTCTCTTTCCAGATCCCAGGTTGAACAGAAACCTCTTGCAAAGCCCCCAATGGCCTTGGAAGTTTGAATGGAATGATTCTGCCCTCACTAAGCTTAAATCCCCTCTCCTCTCTCCTTTCTCCGCCTGAATATTAGATAGTGGATCCATTTTTCCCGCTTGCTGGGGTCTGCAGAAGGCCTGTGAATGCTGGAGAAGATGCAAATGTCACTCAACTCTCTCTTCCATGTTCAAAAATGTTTAATAATAGCCAGAGACAGTTAACCCATTGAACCAGAGAATTGTTGCAAAAGAAAAACATAAAAACTCGAAACCTTGTGAACAGCACTTCCGCACCCACAGCTGGGGTCTCCTACCCCAGTCACTTACACTTGGGTGAGTGGTCCTGTAGTTGTCTCTCTGAGGTTACATTTGGTCCATTTTCCAGCTCTGATGAGTCTTTTCCTGCCTTGTTAGTTTAGGACAAGACACTTCCAATTTAAAATACCATGTAAGTCAAAAGAGAGCTTCTTGCCTGGACACAGGGACACATGGACACTTGTTGAGTGGTATGTGTGTGTGTGCATGTGTGCACATGTGAGTGCACACAGTTTAGGGGAGAGGGAATTGGTTGATTTCTGGTTTGAGACAATATGGAACCCTAACTCTTCTATAATGGCAGTCTTCTCCTTTAGACTTAGTGCAGCTGCTGAAGACAAGATTAAAAAAAGCTGGAGAGGGAGAGAGAAAGAGAAAGAAAACATGAAATTAGCCAAAGAAAAAGGACATTCAAAGTAAGATGGGGAGGGGAGTGGGCAGTGTTGAGGTAGCACAGACTACACTTGGAGAAGACAGGTTAGAAATGGGGTCAGTGAGGGGCCATCACCATGGGAAAATCTGTGGAGAAGGTTTGAAGAACACCACACACCAGTTTAAAGCTTCTTGTTTTAATTAAAAACAAGCACATATTAACAGCCACATGTGAATGCTAAATGATAAAAACAAACAACAACAACAACAACAACAACAAAGCAAAAACCGTGATCCAACCTGCAGCTGGGGAAAGCAACCTTCTTGGCTTAAAAGAAATGAAGGGTGTGTGTGTGTGTGTGTGTGTGTGTGTGTGTGTGTGTTTCAGGAAAGCCATTCCATTCCAGTCTGGGAAAAGAAAAGCACAGGCCATTTCTAATGACTGGTTTAGTTTCACCAGAAGTAAACAGAGAACTTAGGGTATTTTTTTAAAAATAGTTACAATGGTACTAATTAACAAGCCTTTTCAGTGGAGAGGGGGAAAAATGTCTACGTGAGAAAAACTACCCAAGGAAACAAGCATTTGGATGCTTTTAAAAGGCTTGACTGACTATTTTTAAGGAGCTGGCCTGGAGCTTCTTCCTTCGCAGCCCCCACCTGCCCCATCCTCATGCTTTTCTATGGAGGAAAAACACACTCTAGGGTCCTCTAACACTGACGATTTGGTTTCTCTGAACATCAAAAGACCTTGTCTCCAGGAATATATATAAACAGATTGAATCCCTCGGTGAAACAGATGACAAGGAATCTAGCCTGATTTTTGCCAAGAAACAGCAGCAGGACTTTGGGCAATTCCCTTTGCTTCTCTGGGTCTCAATTTCCTGTGGCATATTAGCCACAGATCATTGGGTTACCCAAATTTCTCCCTTTTATATAAAATACCTGCTTACTTTCTGAAGGTCTCCCAAAGGCAATGTGGCTTTAATACTTTTGAAGTATTTTGAGATCCTCAAGCCTCAAGTGGTCAATCTGTAAACAAATGCAAATGAGGGGGCCTCCTGTTTGTAATGCCCAGAATTACCCAGAAGGATGGTGATTGCTGGTTGGTAACCTCAAAGGTGGATTTAGGAACATCAAAGCTGTAAATAAGGAGTCTTTCTCAAGGAGACCTGACAGCCCTAACTCTGAGCTACTGCTGAGGATTTCTTTGGTTTTTGTTTATGAGGGTTTTGATGGTGGTGGTTCGTTTTTACCAACAAGTATTGTGTCTCCTAAAATGCTCCACTGTGACTTGAATTTTCCCAAGAAACTAGTATGTGCTTTGGCAGCATCACCATCTTGCTGGCCTCTGACCACTAACCAATCCTTGACTCACCAACCAATACATAACAGAAGTGAGTTCTTGCATTATCAACAAGAGAAAAGCCTATGCATGTCTGCTTTTCAGTTTTTCTACTTTCTTCTGCTGTTTTTTTCCTTCCTACTATTTAGTAATATGTTATTGAATAAAGAAATCCCTTCCTCTTTTTTGACACTTCAAAAAGGCCTAGAAATTTGGCATAGCCTTCTTGATTCTGTGATCATAAAACAACCCCCCCCCCAAAGAAAAAAACAAGAAAAAAGAAAAAGGTCATTGTCGGTGTCAGTGGGACTGGGAGGCAGGAGCAAGTTGAAGAAATAAAAAAAAAGTGGGGCTTGAAGTACACAGCAGGGGTGGAATGCCCGGTTGCCTGGCACCCCAAAGGAAAGCTGTCAATTAAAATAGGAACCTTCGCTTAAAAGGCTAAGTGGAGTCCAGTCCAGCTGTAGCAGGGGATACTATTCAGTACACAGCCATGGATTACTGCAAAGGAAGGGCAGAGAGACGGCATATTAGCCACAGATCATTGCTAGGTCGCCTCCAGCTTTCACTCTGTCACTGCCCAAGCACCAAAGGTCATTGTGCCTCATGACCCTGACAAGAGAGGGCTCTCTATTTCAGAGGGATTCCCAAAGCCACTATTAGATGGGACCCATTATAAAAATTAGGGCAAATTTTTTTAAACATCAAATTATTAGACCTAAAGGTAAGGACCTTCTAAGGCACAACACCTATTTTCTTCCCTCCAACTGATAAGCTTGCATGTTCTTACTGGGGACATGCACAAAACATACATTACGATCATCCTCATATTCACCAAAGAGACTAGAAGACTTATTCAAGCTCTTGAGTCTTCGACCAGTTGGCTTTCCAGTTTATGAAATGGGATTATTATCTCTGCTACTTGCCCTGCCTTATTAGGATGGCATGGAGTTCCCTGGGAAATGACCAAGGAGATGCGAACATTCCTTAGAAGAATCTTATAAGTCTATCCTTCAAGATTCTAGTCTGGTAATAATATTCAGGTTTATTCTCCCTTCTGCATTTGTCAGGTACCCAGAGTTAGAGAGGGGAAATTTATGCTATTTATTTCAGAAATTGTGTTTCATGCTTCCGGGTTTGGTATAAATAAACTCATGGCTTTTAAGATAGTTTGACTGCAGTTACTTTGAATAAAAACTGCAAAGGGCTGGACTCCTTTTGGAGCTCTCTAAAAAGGGGCTGTGGCTTCTCAGGTTAGTGAAGGGGGCAGGGAAGACCTCGACTGGGACACAGGAGACTAAGGGGACAGCTTTGCTGACTGGTGCTTACTCAGCTATGGTGGATGCAAATACCTAAGGGAAACAAGGAGCAATGAGAGTTTGAACAGGGAAACTGTGGCAAAGAGTAGCAGATGGGACCTCTGAATGGCAAGAAGGAATGTGAAGGGGATAGTGGGAAGAATGGATGACTGGAGGTCCTAGGAGAAGGAATTGAGATGCATTTCTGAGTCACGTGACTGCTGACTTTTTGACCAGAGGCCAGAAACCATCCTCTGACTCTCAGGCTTCTATAAACTCTCACAGAAGTGAGGGAAGGGCATGGTGCATATGTCCCCCGAGACATGTTAAAGGGAAATTAGAGAAAGGGAGGCTCAGTTGTGTTGCATGGGAAAGGGTGCATCTATGGGAAGCCCAAACTAAAAATGAAAAGAGAAGCTGGGTTAATGAATGGGTGGATTAATATACCCAAAAAGGGGGTGATCAGAAGAAAATTGTTTGTCATGATGACTAGTGGATAACTTAGAATATAGCTATGTTAGAGTGCCTTGAGCTCATACTGAACTGGCTCCTGGGAACATGCTTTCTCTCTCCTATACTGACATAACCCAGTTTGACAGCAGTAGTGGCATCAGATAGCAAAATAAAGATCAACAACCTGAAAAGTATTTTTAAAAATCTCTTCTTAATTAGGTCCTAACCTAGTAATTATGAGCTCCCCACCACCCAGATACCTTCAGCCCTCAGACACTTTGCTAGGCACAAATGGGGAGTTGCTGTTTAATTCTGGTCAACTAGCATGGGCACTGAGACTTGCCGTTAAGATAGACAGTAAATAATTTCATTGTTTTTGTTGTTGTTCCTTTTAGATATACATGACATATTTCATTGTTTTTTTAGGATCATTATGTTTGGCCCGATTTCATGGGCCTTACGTTTCAGAAGCCTCTATGATGGACTGTCTCTTTGGGATTTGCTTGAAAGTAGGATGTTTTGCCAGCTGCTTGAAGTTGCCAGTGGAATAGCTACAGCAATCAGTTTGGTGACTAACAGCAGGCTCTCCATCTAAAATCATAAACTGCATGGGTGAGCAGGGAGAAGTCTTCTCAATATTTTATATTCTCCAGTCCAAGCAGACAAAATGTAAAAAAGGCCTTTACGAGACAACCAGGGTATTTCAAACACTAAATAGACATTTTATGTTAGCAAATTATTGTTAATTTTGTAGGTGTGATAATGGTGGGAGTGTGGCTATTATTATTATTTTTTTGGAGTCATTATCTTTTAGAAATACATACTAGAGCATGTACACATAAAATGACAGAGGTTTTGCCTTACAATAATTCAGCAGGTCTGGGGTAATTGATGAAATATAATTGGCCTTATGTTGATGGTTTATTTGGTGACTAGATTGTGGGTACATAAGGCTGCAGTGAACTATTCTCTCTCTTTGTGCTCACGCTTGGAAGTTTCCATGGCAAGATTTTTTAAATAATAAGAAGCCTAATTATGTTAAATGAAAAATATTTATATTCCTGTTCCTCCATTACCTGAGCCTAGCAAAGTAGATAGAAGGTGCTTAATCACTGCTTTCAGCCTTCCCATGACCTACTTGACACCAGGGACAGCTTTATTTACTACTCTAGATATAACACCTAGCTCTCAGGAATCCTTACCAAAGGATACCCCTTCCTTAGCAGAGGTTTTCATGAAGATGGTACTTGTAGAATTAAATGTAAGACCACCTCTATAATATCTATGTTTCTTCATTTTCTTCCTCTTTGATTACGGTTTTGGGGGAAAGCCAAAAGGAAAACGGAGAACTTGAACTCCTCAGATAAGAAACAGCCACCAGAGGGAAACAGAACCAAGTTTACATCAGCTTTGTACATTTCCAAATCTGGGATTAATGCTGACTATGCCACTGTAGGACAGTTTCTTGTATCACCAGTTAATTTTGAAAGTAATGATTATGTATCTTTAAGAAAAAAAAATGGCCTGTAATCCCAGCGGCTCAGGAGGCTGAAACAAGAGGATCACAAGTTCAAAGCCAGCCTCAGCAATTTAGCGAGGCCCTGAGCAATTTAGCAAGACCCTATTTCAAAATAAAAGATAAAAAAGAAAGGGCTGGGGCATATATATGGCTCAGTGGTTAAATGTCCCTGGTTTCAATCCCCAGTATCAAAAAAAAAAAAAAGAAGAAGAAGAAAAAAAAAGAAAGAAAGAAGGCCACAATTGAAACCTCAAATACTGATCACATCTATGCTACCCAGCTGTTCTATCAGCAAAAGTCTGCAAAAGCCCCCCTTTTCATCAGGCAGGCAGGCAGACATTCCACATATATGCTTGAAACCACCCCAGGCTATTTCATCGTATCATAAGACATAGGAGGAAACCAGCTAATCTAATGAAGTAGTTTCTTTTATGATTAGATATGTGTGTTAGGGGTGTGGGGTTTGGGGAGATATGTTCTAGGAGCCACTGCCAGTTCTACTTAGAGTTAATAAAGCTTACCAGGACCCTGGGTCTCATGCAGCATGCAGCAAACAGCAGAGTTAACTGTAAAACAGTAAGAGCTAATGAAGGTGGGGTGAGCACGAACTATTATGAGTTGACACAATGAAGAGTTAGAGATCAAAAGAGATTAGGAGTGCAGGGAGGGGCAAAGGGAAGGGTGGACTGGTAGGCACCCCTCAAACACTGATACTCTTTCTTGATCTTTCTAATAGCAGCCAAAGGATCTCCTGAATATGAGACTCTACTAGATCCACCTGCCCACTCTTGAGAAGAAATCTACTACCACCATTTCTATCCTCAAAACTTGCCGCCACCATCATGATGGGAGCAGAGTGGCACAGGTCTAATGGTGGGTCTTCCAGAAGTTAATCAATTGTTCATGGAATTATATAAGGAGCCCAGACCTGGGTTTACTTATACATTTTGGAGTGTGGAAGAGGACTGGCTATTTTTTTAGGCCATTATTGCTCATACGAGGTACCACGTCCCAGCAAGGTTTTCACCCATCTCAGAACTGGAAATGGGTACCATTACCAACCCCAAATATTTCTGGAGACTGGAGAGGTATTTCCCTATACAGGGTCTTTTGTTTGGGTTGGGGGAAAGTCAGATAATCTGAGGCAGTAAGAAGAAAGCCTGGTCTGAGGAGAGTTCTCACAAAACATTTTGAAAGGGGAATATTTATTATTTATTATTATTTATTTAGTGTCAGTGTCCTCTGAGCAAAATACATTATCTCCCAATTCCTGCAAGTGGGCAACTGCCCCAGGGATACAGTTAACAAATACCACGGGATTACAAAGGCAGAAGATTAGAGCCCCAAAGGTAATTTTTCTGATCTTAAAAACTGGAAATGGGGGGCTGGGGCTGTGGCCAGTGGTGGAGCATTTGTCTTGCAAGTGTGAGGCCCTGGGTTCAATCCTCAGCACCACATAAATAAAAAATAAAGGTATTATGTCTAACTACAACTAAAAAAAATATTTTAAAAACAACTGGAAATGGGCTAGAGTTGTGGCTCAGTGGTAGAGTGCTTGCCTAGCATATGTGAGGCACTGGGTTCAATTCTCAGCACCACATATAAAAACAAAGATCCATCAACAACTAATACAAAAATTTTTAAAATACTGGAAATGCCTGTAATCCCAGCTACTCAGGAGGCTAAGGCAGGAGGAGTTCAAGTTTAAGGCCAGCCTCAGCAACTTAGTAAGTCCCTGTCTCAAAATAAAATTTAAAAATGGGCTGGGAGTGTAGCTCAGGGCTATAGAGCACTTTCCTAGCATGTGTGAGGCCCTGGGTTCAATCCCCAGCACCACATACACATACGCACACAAAAAGAAGGCATCCATTTCTGCTGGTACAACTAATATAACCATGACAGGTAATACCAAAAAGTTCATTAATCAGTGAATTTTGACATATAGTATTAAAATTCAACAACCAGGGGCTGGAGTTGTAGCTCAGTGGCAGAGCACTTGCCTTGCACATGTGAGGCCCCGGGTTCGATCCTCAGCACCACATAAAAATAAATAAATAAAGATATTGTGTCCTTGTATAACTAAAAAAATATTTTAAAAAAAAGATTCAGTAATGAAAATCTCTAGATTTCAAATGACACATTTGTTAGTCCAGTGTGAAAAAAATTAGATTGCAAAAGCGAGTGCCTTCAAATATGAAATGTTTTACAATTGTACGAAGTTATTCAAAGGCACAGTTATGCAAAGTTGTACACTGTGTTATTCCTAAGTAATAAGCCAGGCACAGAGGAAAGGAAGATGTTTCTTCCTTTTGGCAAGTATCCAACAGACAAGTCCAGGAATGGGTGGCTAAAAGAAGGCAATGGGGGCTGGGATTGTGGTTCAGCGGAAGAGCACTCGCCTAGCACGGGCGGGGCCTGGGTTGGATCCTCAGCACCGCATAAAAATAAAAAAGGTATTGTGTTGTGTCCATCTACACCTAAAAAATAAATATTTTTTAAAAAATTTAAAAAAAATAAAAAATAAAAGAAGGCAATGACCATGGACACCTTGCAAGTCCTATTTAGTAAGGACATTGCTAAACACTCCATCTTGGAGCTCCTTGGGTTGCACTATACAAACAACCAGAGAGCATAAGAGCACTCACTGCTGGATGTTTTCTTGGTGTTGTATGGTCTGACTGGAAAAGCTTTTCTCTTCTCTGATTCTGAGATGAGGAATGGGTAATTTTAGCAAGCATTGACTATTGACCAGGACTATTAGGAAGGGGTGGGGTCAGGACTACTGACACACACTGTAACCTGGAGCACATTTGATCCTGCTTTCCTAAGTACCAGAGGAGACAGATTCGTTTTTCAGTCACTTCCCCAGCTTGAGGATGGGGCACTCAAAGGATGCCAACATCTGAAGGCTCCCCACTAAGTTCTCAGTACCCCAGGCTGGGCACAACTAAGCAGCCAGCAGGAAGGGATAGAAAAGGGTGGGAAATAGGGGCTGGGATGCAGCCTTCAGTGGAAGTAGTTAAATTCTGTTGGCTGCAGCTAGAGAGAACTGAGGCAGGTGAAAGCTGGACTATGGGCATGGAAACGTGGGCAACCTCAGATACAGGACGAGCAAGCAGGCCTGGAAACATCAGGTCCAAGCTCCTTGTGGTAGGGAGCGGGGCGGAGGTGTCCAGAGGCATCTGCTAAAAGATTCTCTTTATTCCACCACCCTCTATCCGCCCTTCCTTTTTCTTCCACTCCTTACAACTTACATCTCTCCTTGTTTCCTCCCTTCTACTCTCTCACATTCCTTTTGCTTTTCCTCTCCTTTCCCTTGCTTTTTCATCTCCCTTTTGCAGAGTCTTTCTAAGTAGCCCAAACAGAGGAACTGAACCTCTGGGACCCAACCCTCCCCTACACTCAATTCTCCAAACAGGGAAACCAAAGATTCCATGGGGACCAGTTATAGGTACTCAAATTAGTCTAAAAGCATGTGGTTCATGCCTGGTCACCAGCCCTTAGCCCCCTCAACCTCTCAGAAGGAAAAAGGAACCACCACCCTAGATAAGCCTGCTACTTACTTTTTCTTCTCTTTATCTCTTTTCAGAGTCTGTGAGCCTCCAGCCTGGGAACCCTGAGACTGGAGCAACTCAGCCGCCGTCTTTCTCTGTTTGAAAGCATTCACTTCATCATCCAGGGATTTCTTCTTATCCTCCAGCTTCTTCTTCTCATCTTGGTGAAGTTTCTTCAGACGGTCAAATTTCTCATGCAGCTGTCATGGAGACAGAGATTAGAAAAAAGTCCCTCAAGGTAGCCTCCAACCCAGCAGAGTGAGGACTGGCAAGGCTGCAACTTTGTAGGACCCCTGGACCACAGGACACATTTCTGCCAGGTATTGCCGTGATGGTATCAAAAGGCACACTGCTGTAAGCAGTTCTCTCCACCTGGTATTTTATCTCAAAATCTCTGCTTCTGAAATGGTCAAGGAACAGTGTGTTCTGTGTCATCCAACATTATGTTAAAAAGAATCCCCATAGCAAGCATGGTGGTGGACAGCTGCAACAGCAGTGACTCAGAAGGCTGAGGCAGAAGGATCATAAGTTCAAGTCTAGCCTTAGCAACTTGGTGAGGCACTAAGCAACTTATTGAGACTCTATATCAAAATAAAAAATAAAAGGCTCAGTGGTAGAGCGCCCCATCCCTTTTTATTTTTTTATTTTGAGACAAGGCCTTGCTAAGTAGTAGAGACTGGCTTTGAAACTGAAATCCTGTTCAGCCTTCGAAGTCGCTGGGAGGATAGGTGTGCACCACCACACTCAGCTAATTATTACAACAATCAGATGAGGTAGGTTCTGCTACTGTATCCAATTTTATAAGGAAACAGGAGGTATGAGAAATGAAAGCATTTGCCCAGACAAACCAAATTTTAGAGGATTATGTAATAGGACTTCCCATATGTAAGGAGCCCCCACTTTTCTTATCCCTTGCAATCAGGGAGGATCACAGAGAAAACTGCAGCAATGATAAATATGGTCTAAGGAAATACTTGGCTTTGGTTATGAAAGGAGATAAAAAGATCTTATAAAATGGAATGAGTGCGGACACCCTAATCTTAACCAGAGGTGAGGCTCAACTAAACCTGAATAGAACCAGAGACCTAAAGAACCACAAGCATATTCTGCTATGTCACTGTGACAAACAGATCAGGTGCAAGAACCATAGGCTCTGCCTTGCATGCACAAGGCCCTGGGTTCAATCCTCAGCACCACAACAAAACAAAAGAACCATAAGCTGTCACAAACTAGAATGTGGAAACTATTCTATAAAGTAAGAGCAGATCAAGCAGAATTTCACCTTATTTGGAGGATTCAGGGGAGAATTTAGGATTCTGTAGCACTTGCCACACATTAAGAAGGTCAGTATTCTGGGTCCTGTGGGTATTTGGAATTGTCACTTAGTAAGGTGTGGTAAGATGGTTTTTACTAGTCACTTGGAGTAAGGGGGTCACTTGGGCTGCCTATCAGTTTAACCTAGCTTTTGTTTGTTGCAACTTTTATTCATTTATCATTGAGATCCCCTTGCCTCTCCTCCTAAAAGGGCTGGGTGATATTTTTCTTCTTAAAAGTGAAACTGAAATAAAATCAATATCCTTTCCATGGGCTTGGTGATAACCCTTGAGAGTCATAGCAGATTAGACATGGAAGAGACTTGGGAAGTAATTAAATGTTTCTCTTCTTTATGGTAGAAGCTTTTTAAATATCATTATTTTATTTATTTATTTTTACATGATGCTGGGGGTCGAACCCAGTGCCTCACGCATGTGAGGCAAGCGCTCTACCACTGAGCTACAACCCCAGCCCCATGGTAGAGGATTTTGAAGCCCAGAGATGCAAAGCAGTAGCTGACATGACCAAACGTACCTGAGGTCAGTTAATCTGTCAGGCAGAGGTGGATTGGTAGGGGAGACCTTGGAGGCCAGGTCATGGCTTAGAGAACTAACTACATGTTTAGGAAGGATTGTCAAACCTTAGTTTAAAAACTTGCTAGGCCTGGACAGATAAACTATAAAATGAAATGGAACAGAATACCCAAGTATACAGGGAAATGCCCCATCTGTCCCTGTGTTAGGTTTTAGCAAATTATCTAGGACCACCTGAAACTACCTTTCCCCATAGCCATCAGAGAAAGTAGAATGGCACAGGTCATTAGTTGTCCCTATAGAGTTCTGAACTCCCAGGAAAGGGAAAATAATCAGCCCTAACCTCAAGGGCTGGACTTTATACCTGTATTGCTCTACAGTATTTTCTGTGATACTGAAAATGTTCTGTATCTGTGTTGTTCAATATAATAGTCACTAGCTGCCAGACATGGTGGCACATGCTTATAATCCCAGTGACTTGGGAGGCTGAGGCAGGAGGGTCACAAGTTTGAGGCTACCCTCAGCAACTTAGTGAGGCCCTTAGCAACTTAGTGAGACCCTGTTTCTAAATAAATAAATAGATAGATAGATAGATTAAGAGGGCCAGGGAAGTGGCTCAGTGGTTAAGTACCATTGGGTTGAATCCCAGATATTTTTTTTTTAAATATTTTTAGTTGTAGTTGGACACAAAACCTGTATTTTATTTATTTTATTTTTATGTGGTGCTGAGGATTGAACCCAGGGCCTTGCATGTGCTAGGTGAGCGCTCTACCACTGAGCCACAACCCCAGCCCTTAATCCCAGATATTTAATAATAGTAATAGCCAATAGTTGCATGAGAACCAAGCATTTGAAATATGGCTAATGAGAGTAATAAACTGAGTTTTAAGTGTTATTGTATATTTCAAATTGCTAAAAAGATTAGGTTTTTGGGCTGGGGATGTGGCTCAAGTGGTAGTGCGCTCGCCTGGCATGCGTGCAGCCCGGGTTCGATCCTCAGCACCACATACAAACAATGATGTTGTGTCAGCAGAAAACTAAAAAATAAATATTAAAAAATTTTTTTAAAAAAGATTAGGTTTTAAGTGCTTTCACCACACAAAAAAATGATAAGTATAGTAAATGAGAGATTTGTTAAATAAGTTGATCCAATCATTCCACAATGTACTAAAGCATCACATTGTATCCCATAAATGTATACAATTATCATTTGTCAATTAAAAATGAAATTTCAGCCAGATGCAGTGGCACATGCCTGTAATCCCAGTGGCTTGGGAGGCTGAAGCAAGAGGATCTCAAGTTCAAAGCCAGCCTCAGCAATGGTGAGGAACTAGGCAACTTAATGAGACCCTGTCTCTAAATAAAATATGAAATAGGGCTGGGGATGTGGCTCAGTGGTTGAGTGCCTCTGAGTTCAATCCCCACTACCATCCCCCACAAAATGAAATTTTAGAAGTTCAAGAAACTTAAGTAACCACATGTAGCTAGTGGCTACCATTATCGCATGCAAGGCTCTGGAGAATTAGGTAACACAGAGAAAACCTCTCAGCCTCAGGTGAAAGGCAAAAAAGACACAGATCTAGCAGGGCTCAGTGGTGCATGCCTGTAATCCCAGTGGCTTGGGAGAATAAGGCAGGAAGATAGAGTTCAAAGCCCACCTCAGCAAAAAGTCAGGAGCTAAGCAACTCAGTGAGACCCTGTCTCTAAATATAAAATAGGACTGGGGATGTGGCTCAGCGGTCCAGTGTCCCTGAGTTCAATCCCTGGTACCAAAAAAAAAAAAAGCTCTACCCAGCCAAGGTAGGGTTTCAGAAGCTGTGCTCCATTCCTGCCTAGAGGCCACAAGGCTCTTACCCAGGGTGAAGCCTGTCATGTGCTTCCACACCCTGATGGACCTCCCTTCCCTTCCTGCTTGGCACCCAGGCTCCCATTTACCTCTTTCTCTGCCTCTTTGAGCTCCGCTTCTTTCTCTTTGACTCTCTGGACGAACATCTGTCTCATCTCCTCTTCCTTTTTCTGTAGCTCTCCTAGGAATTCATTTCTTTTGGCCTCATATGTCTCCTGTAAACTGCGAGCATGGTCAGGTTAATCCCTCTGCCTTCAGAGGGGCTCTTTGATGAAAACTGTCTCCAACCATCCTCCCTGAGTTCCTTCATCCTCCCCCAATTTTAATAGAGATGCAAAAATAGAACCACAAAGCAGCAGGCAGCTGGCTCGGCACATGACGGTGGATCGTAGGGCTACTTGAGGGGAAAAAGTTGGCCTTGGCCAACTGAAGAGACTTAGAAAATCTGGTTTTATGCCTTCATATCACACATGAGGAAACTGAGGCCCAGAAAGGTGAAGTTACTCACTGAAGATCACAGGGCTAGTTGGAGACAGAGGTGGGACCAGAAGCTGTATCTCCTGTCTATTCATTTGGGCCCACCCATGGAACTATGCTGCCAAGTCCTGGTCTAAAACTGACCATGTTAATTCAATGCTTCCACAAATACTTTCTAAGACTCCACCATGTGCTAGACATGGTACTAATTAACACTATGCTAATCACTGAGCATCTGGACACCATTCCTGCCCTCAAGGAACTTGGGGTCTAGTGGGAGATGCCTGGGCTAAGGCCTCTGCCCCTGGACTGAAATTATTTTGAGGTGAGGTTCCCGAGTCTGGTAGAAGAGGACAGGCTTTGGATGCTCCATTCAAGAACTGTACATGTATCTACTGTATGGTTTTAAACAGGAGAACTGACTGGATCCATGAGAAAGTCCACTCTGGCTGTATTGTGAAGGAGAGATCTTCCAATGATCCAAGTAAAAAATGGTGGGATCTGCATGTTAAGGGGTGGTAAGGAATGGAGGGAGGTAGAGGAGCAGTAAAGGAAGCAGAACTCCCAGGACGTAAGAAAATCAAAATGATTGTGGTTTTGGGTTTGTGCACCCAGGTAGAAGGTGATTCCATGAACTGCAACAGGGAACACTGGGGAAGGAGTATGTTTAAGAAGAAAGGAGATGAATTAGATTATGGACAACTCACATTTTTGGTAGGGCCTCTGTGGAATGTCTGAGTGGAAATGTCCAGTATGCAGTTGGATCAAAGGGTTTAGAACTCAAAAGTAAGATTTTAGTTTTTGAGTCATCCACTTTGAGGTGGTAATTAGGAATATGAAAGTAGAAGGAACCAGCCACAAAGAGAATGGAGTGAAAGAAGCAGAAGGAATCCCGGGGGAATACCAACATTTAAAGGAATAGGCTGAAGAACATGAGCCTGCAAATGTAACTGACAAGGGAGTAGTAAGAGAAAGTGGAATAAAACCAGCCAGGTCATTACTGGAAGAGCCAATATTTCAAGAAGGAGAAAGTGGGGAATAGCATCAAATGTTAAGCACTGAGATCAAAGAAGATGAGACTCTAAGGCCACAATGAAATTGGCTACCAGTGAGTGATTGCTGGCCTTGGAGAGAAGCACTTCCGTGGGGTGTTGGGAACCTCTTTGACTGCATTGAGTTGAGGAAGTAAATGAGAGAAGAGGAAGAGGAGCCATAAATACAGAATGACTCTCCTTCCTGTAAGAGCCACCTTTTTTTAAAAAAATATATTTTCTTAGTTGTGCATGAACATGATACCTTTATTTTATTTATCTTATGTGGTACTGAGGATCAAACCCAAGGCCCCACACATGCTAGGTAAGTGATTCACCACTGAGGTACAACCCCAGCCCCAGAGCCAACTTTCTTGAGAGAGCAGGAGCTACCTAGGAAGAAGAGCAGGGCTAAGAGAGAACTTCTTTAGAGTGGGAATATTTACAGGCAATGTGGAAAGGGGTCAGTGGAAGAGGAGTGAAGAGGATGAAGACACGGAAACAGAACTACTCACAATGAGGCGGGCATGGTAGTGCATGCCTGTAATCCCAGCAGTTTGGGAGGCTGAGGCAGGAGGACCACAAGTTCAAGGCCAGCCTCAGGAACTTACTGAGCCCCTGAGCAACTTAGCAAGACCCTGTTTCTAAATAAAAAGGGGTGAGGAAGTGGCTTAGTAGTTAAGCACCATTGGGTTCAATCCCTGGTACCAAAAAGAAAAAGAAAGAAAAGCAAAAAAGAAAGAAAGGATGGAGCAAAGGTCCTTCCAGGAATGAGCTGCCAGGTGGAGGCACACTTCCTACTCCACAGATGCAGAAGTAAACTGTGGGAGGCAAAGGAAAGAAGCAGTTGAGGTAGCTCTCATCAGAACAGAAAGCTAATAAGCTCTCCTTCCTCCACCCCAGGGACTCCAGTGACCTTTCCTAGTCTGTCCCTGTTAGGAACTAAGGCTTCTGGGCTTTGCCCCAGGCCACTTTTCTGCTGCAAACAGGTACTATAGGAACTTAGAGGCCCTTGGAAAGCTGCCTTCTCTCACAAATATCCCCTACATTTGCTTATTGATGCCTGACATTTCCTAAAAGGAGACTGAGCCACATAAAGGGCACCACATGGTAATTTAACACACAGGGCTTTTGCATATAGATCAGATGTGCTTCTACTTGGTCTATCTCTCCCATCTGCATAAAACACTGCTTTTAGAAACATTCTCCTTCTCTGAAAGCATCTGAGATTCTGATTTAAGAAATATGCCAGTGATTATTCATATCCTGTGGCCAAAACAAAACTTGCACTTGAATGCAAACATGAAGGACAGTAAATAAAGAATCTGCATTCATCAATATGGGTAAAGTGACTGCTACTTAATCCTATCTGGTGTGTGTGTGTGTGTGTGTGTGTGTGTGTGTGTGTGTGTGTGTGTTTTCAGGGCTGGGGCTGGAACCCAGGGCCTCCCACACACTAGGCAAGCATTCAATTACTGAGCAATATTCCTAGCCCTCCTATCTGGTTTTGAGAATGGCAAGGAGGGTAAAGAACAGACTGGAGGCCTGCCCAAGCAACAGAAGCCTGATGAAGAAAGTAGGGCAGAAGACAGTTACTAACTGCCACCCTGTGGAATAGGGAGGGGCCCCAGTTCAGGGATCCCTTCCCCCACAGTTGACTGGATGTGGGGGTAGGGGGCTGTGAGAGATCAGCCAGGCTGTCCCTCTGGGTCCCCTCCCTTCCCTCACACCTATCAATAGGTCACAGTGTTTCCCAAGCCTGTCCCACTGCAGCTGTCTTGGCTGGTGCACAGACGCTGAGAAGGAAGGAACAAACAGAACTGGTGAGTGAGTGACCTCTGTTCCTCCTGCGAGGAGGAACCCATGTCTGGCTTCCCATGTCAATTCTCCAGGGCAAGGTTTCCATATCACTTGGGTGGGCTGAGCTGGGCTGGCCTGGCCTGGCTTGTTGGGGGTGGTACCTGAAGGGTTTGCTGTCAGGGTCGGTGTCCTTGAAGCCCATCTCCTCCAGCTTACAGCGTCGGTACAGTTCATAGTGCCGGGTGTGGGTCTGCTCCCGCAGATCCTCCATGTTGACCCGAATCAGCATCTCCCGCAGCTTCACAAAGTCGCAGTGAGCCTCGTTTTCAACTGCATAGCAGGGATTGGGGTATTGAAAGGATATTGAAAGGAAGGCCAGCAGAAGCAGAAATGGACGAAATGAAAGGCAACATGCCCAACAGTGACATTGCCTTGCAATCTGTGTAGATAGAACCTGTGAATTTACCTCCTAATTTGCTTTTGAACTGAAAATGCAAATGGAAAGTCACAAAAATGGCAGTCATGGAAAACTGGAATGCCATAAAAATATCTAAGGATGTTCAGTAGCATCTCAACCCAAATTCACCAATCAGACTATCACAGGATTGTCTACCCTGTGCCACTTTGTGGACAACAGCATATGTACACCCATTCAATAAACATTTGTGGAATCTCTGTTCTTAGTACGGTATGGGGCCCTGGGAATTCAGAAACAAAGTAATGGAATCCTGTTCTCAGGAGCTTAAGTTTAGTGGAAGAATAGATGTAAATAGGCAAATACTAAACAATGCAAAAATTATAAAAATGGAGGTAGAGCTGAGTAAAATGGAAGCCCAGAAGGTGGTGGGGGAGGGGTCCTACAAACTCCTTGGAGAGCGTAAGCTTCACCAAAGAGACAGCTCCTAAGATGACTCTGGAAAGAAGAATAAGAGTTTATCAGGCAGATGAGGAACACTGTCCTTGCAAGGTCTCCGTGTGGCTTCACAAGGTTATATAAGTAGTGTGTTACAGAGTTAGGATACAAACCCAGGCAATGTAGGGGGGAGGCAAAGGCTATGACCAGATGGCCAAGTCTCCAAAGAATAAGGGGAAAGAGCCAGGGTATCAGTAGATGATGGTGACAACCAGGGGTGGACCTCAGGGGTGGCCCATTTGGATGGCAGAAGCTTTGAAGGAGTGTTTGAATTAATGGCCTGATGAGCAGCAATGATGACTAGAAGAAAGTGAACCCCACTTTCTGGCCTCAGTGAAAAAGGCCCCTTCTTGAGAGAGTGTGGCAAAGGTCTGCATTTTGGATAGTGGCCAAGAATGACAGAGATGTGGACCAAATCACAGCAAAGTGGATTTCTGGCTGGAACCGAAGGTCATGAGCAGCGCTTTGTCAAGATGTCTCCAGACATGGCTCTGCTGTGTTGGATGGTGGTGTTTGGCCTAAACATGGGAGGGGGGTGGTGTCTGAAATGATGAACAGGATCAGTCATCTCAGATTCTGTTTTGTAGGTCTGGGAAAGGGCAGTGGGAACAGAAAGGGGTTGGGGAGTGATAGGATGAATACTTTCAGCAGACTTCCTTGTAGTCATCAGAGAAATCTTTCCAAAGCCCAGATAGATCCACATAATCCCCCTGCTTAAGGTCTGTTGCTTTTGGAGTACCCCCTATTCTGCTGTCACAGAACATAAGCTGATATTAAAAATTGCATCAGCTAGGCATGGTGGTTCATGCCTGTAATCCCAGCAACTCTGGAGGCTGAGGCAGGAGTATCACCAGTTCAAAGCCAGCCTCAGCAACAGCGAGGTGCTAAGCAACTCAGTGAGACCCTGTCTCTAAATAAAATACAAAATAGGACTGGGGATGCAACTCAGTGGTCAAGTGTTCTTGAGTTTAATCCCCAGTACCAAAAAAAAAAAAAATTGAATCAGTAAGGCAACTTCTTGGGACCATGCTAAATGCCACCTGCTTCTCCAAATCTGGACAAGGATTCCTGATAGTCAGTCAGAAGGCCCCTGTAAGTTGCTAAAGCAATATGCAACATCATCCTCATTCAAACTAATAGTCAGGGTTGGGGGTATAACTCAGTGGCAGAGCACTTGCCTGGCATGCTCAAGGCCCTGGGCCCCATCCCCAGCACCTAAAAAAAAAAAAAATGAAAACTGAACAGTCTCGGACTGACAAGAAAAACATTCAAGAACCCAGTTTTGGTTATGTGTGGAGTTGTCCAAGTAGAAGGAAATTATCAGAACCACGTCTGCTGGCTTCTCTTCTCTCACCTCAGGTTCCTATATCACAGGCCACATACCCATTCCCAGGGTAAGACTGGTAGTCCAGAAACCATTTATTAATGCTCCTAGTAGAACATTCCCAGCCCCAACTGGCAGGGAAGAGCAAAACATAGCACAGTTCTGATAACCAGTCCTGTCCTACCTATTAAAAAATCCAGACTGGGGGAGTAGCTCAGTGATAGAGCATTTGCCTAGCATGCACAAAGCCCTGGGTTTAGTCCCCAACTATCACTAGCGGGTCTCTGCATGCTCTAAAACATGCCAGCCTTTGTATTCTATGTGGTCAACTCACCACCTACTCCTTTTTTAAAAAAAAATTATTTATTTATCTATTTATTTGCCAAGCAGTAGGGATGAGTTTACGGATAATCTGCCACCCTCTCATACAGTGCCCCTGCAATCTGTGGCCCAATTTATAGCTGTCAACTCTGAGGACCAGAGACACCTCTTCAGTCCATGGCAGTGCCCTAAGACCTTGTCTTATTTACTGAACCAACTGGCCCTGAGGGTAACTTAACATTTGTCAGGAAGACCACAAAAAGAACTTTCCTGAGCATATATAATACGTCTGACTGCTTTTAAATTGTGAAATAATCATGCATTATACATGCATATCAAAGAGGACATGAAATGTGCACTGATGTCTCTATAACCCAGTTTAAAGAGTATCCATACTTTAGAAGCATACCTGCATTCCCCTTTCTGATCTCATGCCCCACTCCTAATTCCCCAGCTTTCCCTGGCAATGAGTCTTAACCACTATCCTGACTTTAGGGTTTATCTTGTTTTCTTTTATAGTTTTACCACTTATGTACAAATTCTTATATCTGATGTATCATGTTTGGGGCTGGGATTGTGGCTCAGTGGTAGAGCGCTGGTCTAGCATGTGTGAGGCCCTGGGTTCGATCCTCAGCACCACAAAAAATAAAGAAAATAAAGGTATTGTGTCCAACAACTTCTAAAATATAAATGTTTTATATATATATATATATATTTTTTATATATATATAACATGTTTAATTTTCTTACTTTGGAATTCAAACAAAACAGAATTCTACAGTATGTATTCTTCTGTGATTTATTTAGCTCAACATTATGTTTCTGAAATTCATTCATCAAAATGTAACTGTGTAGTTCATTTGTTTTCCCTGCTATATGATATCCCATTATATGAATAAGTCACAATTTATCCAGTCTACTGTTTTTGTGGTGCTATGGGTTGACCCTAAGAGTGCTTTGCCTCTGAGCTACATCCCAGCCCTTTTGTTTTGAGACAGGGTCTCATTAAGTTGCCAGGCTGGCCTGGTGGGATTCTAGGCAGGCATGGTGCAGGCTATCCAGTCTACTTTTGTTTGTTTTTGGTACCAGGGATTGAACCCAGGGGCTCTTTACCACTAAGCCACAACCCCAGCCCTTTTTATTTTTTATTTTGAGACAGGGTCTCGCTAAGTTACTTAGGGCCTTGTTAAGTTGCTGAGGCTGACCTTGAACTTGCCATCGTCCTGCCTTAGCCTCCTAAGTGGCTAGAATTACAGGTGTGCACCATCACACTCATCTAGTCTATTTTTAAAAAATGTTTTTAGTTGTTGATGGACCGTTATTTTATTTATTCATTTATATGTAGTGTTGAGAATCGAACCCAGTGCCTCACAGGTGCTAGGCAAGTGCTCTACCAGTAAGCCACAATCCCAGCCCTCATCCAGTCTATTTTTAATGAATATCAGGCTGTTCCTAATTACTTGTCATTGGGCATAACAACTCTGTGAACATTCTTACACATCTCCTGGTACCTCTGGGCAAGAACATGTCCTTTCTTGTACACTTCCCCCCTTCCTTGATCCATGTCTATTTGTTTTTCTTTTAGGGGTGCTTTCTCCATGAGAAACAAAGGGAGACTGTTCACATCAGAAAATCCAGATATGGAGCCAGAGTTTGCCTGCTAGTGACCCCTATGATTTGAGACTCAAGTTGAATGCGGACAGGCTGGGGACAAGTTAAGGTCTTGTTATTCAGAGACTGGGGACAAGCAAAGGAACAGACAGAAGGGGTTCCCTGAGTGCAGCCTGTCTGCTAGAGACTCACCCTGTACTGTGCCCCAAGGATACTGCCGTGCCTTCATCATCTTGTTCCCTATCTTCAGTTCTTCTGTGCTGCCAATGACGGCAAAGGGAAGGTGGGCCTGAAATAGAAGGCAAAAACCACTCAGAACTCCAGAGGAAAGTCATAGAGCATCCCACAATACAACTGCTGCTCATCTCTGGGACCTCATTCTGCAATGGCCCTCACAGCTGTCATTATCAAAAGGCATTGATTAACCCACTGAACTGTGTGGGAATAAGAGGCCTAGTCCTAGCCTTTGCTGGTCCCAAATTCACAATACAAGATAACAATGGCATGCCAAATGTCATAGGGAAGAAAAAGAGAAAATAAGCAGACTAATAAGCAGATACATGGATTAGCAAGTATATTCATCAGCTTTGAAGAGCTGTGACCAAAGTCCTGGACAAGAACAACTTAGAGGAGGGAACTGGGGTTTCAGAGGGCCATAGATAGCCAAGTTCATTGTTCTGCACCCTAAATGAGGTAGCACATTATGGTGAAAGGGCATGGCGGAGGGAAGCCACTCCCTTCATGGCAGCCAGGAAGTGGGGGTAGCACAGGGAAATTGTGGCCTTCCAGGGCATACCCCCAGTGACCCACTTCCTCCAGCCATGCCCCACTTATCTATAGTTACCACCCAGTCTATTCAAACTAGAATGGACTGATGCGGTTATAGCTCTCACAACCCAATCATTTTACCCCTGAACATTCATGCATTAACACAGGAACCTTTGGGGCCATCTCATATCCAAACCATAACAATAAGCTCTTCACTTTCAGTTGCTATAGGAAAAAGAGACTTTGGAAGGTGGGTGAGCAGGAAGAGGAGGCTGGGTGTGGATAGAGAAGATAAGGGAGAACTACGGGGGCTGGTTTCACTGGTCGTCCCCACTCCCACAGAGTGAGAGCCCCCAGAAGAGATTACACCCTGAAACCACAAGGCTGACAGAGGTATACTGTCCTTCCTCTCATCCTTCCCTGGACCAAGAGCTCACACTGATCCCTTGAGCCTAGAAGGCAAGTCACCAAGTATTCACCCACATGCTCACAACTGCTGGCTTCTCTTTTAAGTGTTACAAGGTAAGCAAAGAAGTAGATGGGCTGAGGCTGGGGCTCAGTGGTAACGCACTTGCCTGGCATGTGTGAGGCACTGGGTTCGATTCTCAGCACTGCATATAAATCAATAAAGGTCTATCAACAGCTAAAAAAAATATTAAAAAGAAGAAAAAGGGGACAACACACTCCCTCAACCACTGGAAGCTTAAAATCTTGTGGGAGAAGGCCAAATGACATACCTAAAATCACAGAAGACTGCTGAGGTAAACACTAATCAGTGCCTAGGAAAGCTTGTAATTCCACACAGTGAGATGTGAGATAAGAAGGACTCTAAAGAATATGATAATGAAGGAAATAGAGAGAGGAAACTGGCCACTTCCCCTTGGCTCCAGTCTTTAGATGAGGATCAAAGCAGAGTGACCTTGGTTGTAAAGTAAAAGAATACACTCATAAAACATCTGAAGAAGTCCACTGCCTAGTAGGCATGCAGCCTATCCTACAAATTCCCTCTGCTTATAGGCACAGGGCAGTTTCTCCATTGTACCCCGGCCTGCCATTGCCAAGGAACATGTAATAAAATGTCCGAATCCTCTCTGTTGAGTCCACCAAGTTCTTTCTTCAAGATTGGAAAACAGGACACTGGGATCTGTTCAGCCCCAGGGATGAGCAAAGGTAATATATGACCAAGAGCTCAAATGTATGATCTGGGCCCCTGCAAATAGTAGGTGATTTAGTGTTTCTTGAGTGGTGATGGTCAGGTTGCAGGAATAGGAGAAAGGAAAGAAGGCAAAGTAGGGTCAGGGATATGAGCTCAGAGTATGCAGGGGAGATGAGGATCAGGGCTGGCTAGCAAGGAGTCTTTGTGGTCAGAGAAGAGGGAGCTGTCCCAGCATAGGGCCTGGGAAACACTCAGGATGCCCCATTCCAAGGTAGCTGACCAGCTTGTAGGAGTCATCCTTAGCCAGATGGAACATCTGAATAGCTGTTGTTTACAAACTAGGTGAGACCAGGCATGGCTGTACCCAAAAGGGCTTTACACCAAAAGGTAAAGGGCCCACTGGAGCAAGCTTTCTTAGGCTCCTGTCAAAAACAGGCTGTGGTCTCAGATATTTTTACCTGTTTGTTCTACAAATGTTTACTGTGCTGCTACTATGTGCTGGGCCTTACAGACAACAAAATGTTGAGCCGGCCGTGGTGGCACATGCCTATAATCCCAGCAACTTGGGAAGCTGAGGCAGGAGGATCACAAGTTTGAGGCCAGCTTCAGCAACTTACTGAGATCCTGCCTCCAAATATAAGTATAAATAAAGAACTGGGGATGTAACTCAGTAGTAAAGCACCCCTGGGTTCAATCCCAGTACTTAAAAAAAAAAAGGCAGCATAGGTAGTAGTAGCAATTATTCTAACAGTGTTACCTGCTATAAAACTAGTATTAGCCAGAGCAATATATTAAACTCTATGCATTATGTATCAGGTGCTTGGCATTTCACAGTACAAGGTAGGTAGTCTCATTGCTCCCATCTTATGGATGAGAAACCTGAGGCCCAGAGGACTGACTTGCTGGCAGGCACACAATATTAAGGGAACAGCTAAAGGTGGAGCCCAAATGTTATGGTTTAGATATGCAATGTCCCCAAAATCTCATGTGTAAGACAGTGCTTTTGTTCACAGATGAAATGATTAGATTATGAGATGTAGCCTGATCCGTGGACTAACTGGACGGTTACTATAGGCAGGTAGGGTGTGGCTGGAGGAAGTAGGGCACTGGGGATGTACCTTTGGAGTATACATTCTGTCTTTTTGCTTCCTGGTTGCCATATCCTGAGCTACTTTCCCCTGCCACACCCTTCCTCCATGGTGTTCTGCCTCACCTCAGGCCCAGAGCCAAGGAGTTGGCCCACCATAAACTGAACCTCTAAAACCATGAGCCAGCCAAACTAAACTTTTCCTCTACATTGTTCTTGCCAGGACTTTTGGACACAGTGATGCAAAACCTAACTGAAACATGAGGTCTCTCTAGCTTCAAAGCCTACCCCTTGTTTACTTGCTGCTTGCTCCCACTTACGAGGTAAGAGCTCTAAACCTGGAGTAAACTAGTTGTGCTAGGGCAGATTATAAGAGCCAGTTCAATTCTGGGAAACCCACAGCCAATCTATTGCTCAATTGTTTAATCTGCATGCTGATCTTATAGCCAATCCTTCATTTCCACTCTTTTCTAGCTCTTGACCCTGAGGATGTTCTTCAAAGCAGGAAAACACGGGATCTCATTAAGAGCTCAGCTCCACAACAACCACACATTCCCCAAGGTGCTCAGCCAGCTGTTGAAGCTGCTCTTCCCTCACCCTGTCCCTCTCTCAGCTGCCTATCTCAGCTACTCCCCAGCCCCTTCCCAGTCCACTGACTGTTCCTGAAATAGGGACACAGGAAAGAGGGAAAGAGGAAGTCATGGATATGGAAGGTGGATGTGGGCTGCTGGTGGAAAATATTTCAGCAACAATAATGTAAGATATCAAGGAAAAAATATAACAAAAGATAGGCAAGAATGGACTAGTGGTGTTACACAAGACCCTGGGTTTGATCCCCAATGCTGCCAAGAAAAAGAAAGAAAAAGAAAAAAGATGTGCATAAAATTTTACTGGAGGGGCTGGGGATGTGGCTCAAGCGGTAGCGAGCTCGCCTGGCATGCGTGCGGCCCGGGTTCGATCCTCAGCACCACATACCAACAAAGATGTTGTGTCTGCTGAAAACTAAAAAATATATATATATATTAAAATTCATTCTCTCTCTCTCTCTCTCTCTCTCTCTCTCTCTCTCTCTTTCTAAAAAAAAAAAAAAATTTTACTGGGAACACCATTTAGGAGGACGGGTGCAGTGGTGCACGCCTATAATCCCAGTGGCTCTGGAGGCTGAGGCAGGATGATCGCCAAGTTCAAACCCAGCCTTAGAAACTTAGTGAGGCCCTAAGAAACTCAGCGAGACCCTGTCTCTAAATAAAATATAAAAAAGGGCTGAGGATGTGGTTCAGTGGTTAAGTGCCCTCGGGTTCAATCCCCAGTATTGGGGGAAAAAAACTAATTAGGAAAACAGTGTAGCAACAGAGTAATTGGGCATGAGACACCTGGGGCATCTGGGGAGCACTGAATTCCTGAAAATGCTATCCAATAGTCTGAGCATCTCCAACCTGTACCAGCTGGCTTTATGGGGGAGGGGGACCAGCTGGACACAGTTCAACCCTATTCAGGGATCCAGAAATGTTAGGAGCTTCAACAACATGACAAAGTTGCCAAGGGGCAGTGATTGCAGAGGGCTAGACCAAGGGAGGAGGTGAGAAAGAGAAATCACATTGTGTCCCTCATCCTGGGCTCTCAGCTCTAAGTGATTGAGGAGGAAGGTGTGTGAAAGGAGAGGCATTTCTCTGGGCTCAAGAAGGAAGGAGGAAAAAACCCAAGAAGAAAATACAGGCATAGAAAATGTCATCCTTCCCTTGAGCCTGTTATTTTTAATCAAGAGACATTGTCAGTCAGAATGACAGGGTCAATTATTTCCCCTCTTCCTCAAACTGCCGTCGTTTGATTCCTGTAACTCCCTGCCTGCTCGAAAACACACAGCCTCCACCAAACTGAATTCCAAGGCCTCCCAACCACCCCTACTCCTTTACAACTGGCATCAAAGACTCTTTTGAGGGACTGAGGTTGTGGCTCAGCGGTAGAGTGCTTGCCTCACACATGTGAGGCACTGGTTCGATCCTCAGCACTACATAAAAATAAATAAGTAAATAAAATAAAGATACTGTGTACCCCTACAACTAAAACCAAGTATTTTTTTTAAACACTGTTTTGATTAAGTATATGTGAGATAATTTCTGAATGCTGGGTCACAATTATAAACTTAATTTTTGATCAGTGGGAACTGGGATACAGAGAGGTTAAACAAGCCACCCAGGCCCCAAACCCCCATGCCCAGGTCTTCCCAGGAATCAGTGAGGCCACCACACTTTGGCTGTCAGCCTCCCCCAGACACCCAGGGTGGCCTGTGCTCTGCCTCCTGGCTACATAGCATCTGCTGGAAATCAGCTAACCATGACAGGCAGGAAATCATGGGGAACCAGACTGTGACTTTCTGCCCTGCTGCTCTTGAGAGACAGATGGCTATGATAACCAGAACGGAGTCAAGCACGGTGGGGAGAAGATAAATCCCCCAATCAAACTCCAGATCCTACCAACGGGACCCAAATCTGTAGCTGAACTTTCTCATCCTCCTTTTTAAAAATATTTTTTAGTTGTAGATGGACACAACATCTTTATTTTTATGTGGTGCTGAGGATCGAACCCAGTGCCTCACACACGTGAAGCAGGCGTTCTACCACTGAGCCACAGCCCCAGCCCTCTTCCTCCTTTTTTTTTTTCAGGTTTTTGTAGGTGACTGACAGGTAACAGTTTTTCTGTGTGGACCCAGGAAGAGACTCCAATAGCAGCAAGGCAATGCTGCTGCTGACTCACAGACAGGCTCAGGAGCCTGTGTAACTCTGTCACCAGACCTCTGATGAGGTGCCCCCAGATGTCAGGTCTCCCAAACACAGAGCTCCAAGAGATAGCCTAAAGCCTCCCCTTTGGAGACTACTCCCAGATTCATTGTCTTAGTCTGTTTTGTGCTGCTACAACAAAATACCCGAGACTGGGTAATTTATAAAGAGCAGAAACTTGCACTGGCTGGTTTAGTTGTCTGATGAAGGCCTTATTGTTGTATCCTCACATGGCAGAAAGTCGAAGGATACACTAGCTGAATGCCACATCGAACACTAATGAGGGAACAGCCCCTCTAGGCTAATCACTTCTTAAAGGCCACATCTCCCCCTTCTTCTTTTCTGCAGTATGCAGTATTGAGGATTGAACCTAGGGGTGCTTTAATACTGAGCTTTTAACACAGTCTTTTAAAAAGAAATTTTTTTTTGGTGCCAAGGACTGAACCAGGGCCTCTTGCATGCTAGGCAAACACTTTACCACTGAGCCACGCCCCCACTCCCTTTTTAAAAAAAAAATTGAGATTGGATCTTGCTAAATTGCTGAGGCAGGCCTTGAACTTTGCAATCCTTCCACTTCAATTTCCTGAGTCACCCATCTCTTAAAACTATCACATGGGCAACACAAGTTTTTCAGGGGACACCATCAAACCACAGTGCTGCCCCTATAGTCACATGGCTACCTTTGGTATATTTTAAAGTGTTTAATGATCCACCTGGCATGACTTATTTTATTCTAATTCCACCACATTCATTACGTTTGAAAGAATAGATGAATGCTCTTTAGCCCCATGAAATAGCATCAGGCTTTTGTATAATCTCAACTGGCTTCCTCCCTGAGTGGACAGTGTTTCCTTGATGTGTAGCTGGTTATGCTTGCCCCCATTGCAGGCTGGCAGCTAAACTAGAACATTGCTTAATTTGTTCTCAAGTCAACTCTTGATGACTCCTGAAAAAGTGCATGCAAACAATGGAAATACCACCGCTGTCTCAAAAGGGATGGGCTTGTGCCTGTAAATCTCCCTGTGACCCCATTGGTCAGTCATGTGCTCTTGCTGGGGCTAAATGTCAAATGCCTTTGTGGAAACCAAACCTAAGACCTCACAAATGGTCAATTAACTGAATTTAGCTCCAAAACTAGGCCCATTGCTTGGTACCTGGCCATGGTTTGAGCCATTCAAAGGACATTAAGTGGGCTGGGGCTCAGCGGCAGAGCACTTGCCTAGCACCTGTGATGCATTGGGTTTGATCCTCAGCAAGATGGATAGATAGATAGATAGATAGATAGATAGATAGATAGATAGATAGATAAAATAAAGGTATTGTGTTCATCTACAATTAAAAATATTTTTTAAACACAAAGAACATTACATTTGGGGCTGGGGATGTGGCTCAAGTGGTAGCGTGCTCGCAAGACATGCGAGGGGCGCTGGGTTGAACCTCAGCACCACATAAAAAATAAAATAAAATAAAGATGTTGTATCCACCAAAAACTAAAAAAAAAAAAAAAATAATCAAAAAACTCCCCCCCCCTTTCTCTCTTAAAAAAAAAGAACATTAAGTTTAAACATTACAGCAATTTTTTGGCAGTGCTGGGGATTGAACTCAGAGCCTTATACATGCAAGGCAAGCACTCTACCAACTGAGCTATACCCTCAGCCCTACAGCAATTTTTAATATGAAAGTATCAAACCTTGAGGGAGATCAGAGCACAGGTTGAAAGTAGCATGCAATGAGATCTCTCTCTCCCTTTTTTTGCCCTCTCAATCTGAAATAAGGCTTTCTAGGGCCACCAAAAAGGCAAGGGGGAGCCAATAAAATCCCCAGTGGTAAGCAACAGAACAGCTGTAAGATATTCTCCACTTAAAGAAGAGGTTTCCTCCATTTCTTCCAATCCACTCACTCCCCAGGAGAATTGGCTGTGGTGGCTGAGACTGTGGGGCTGGAGTGAAACCCAGAATTCAAATGCCAAGCCCAGGACTGCGATGATGTAGCTTCAAACACAAATGGCTTGTCCAAAGACTCTGGGGACTTTTGACATGGTTGCTCCAGGGGCAGGCAGGCTAAGCAATCCAGTGTATGTATTTTGCAGTGGTGATTCCTTCCTGTTTCTCCCCTACCCCAGCATAGGGAGTCCCATTGTAGACCCCTCCCAGGGGCATGCCCATTCCAGGCATACTAGCAAGAAGCAACCCTTCTCTTTCCCACTCAAAAAGCATGGTGGAATGCCAGAGGGTGAATGATGAGCAGTTGTTATAGGAACAACCCTGAATCTACTCAAATTCGTTTTTCAGAGTGAAACACTGGCTAACACTAGGCTGTTATGAATACCAGGGGACCCATAACCTATTCACAGCCATAAAAGCTTGGTTGAGGGGTGAGGGAGTAGCTCAGTGGTAGAGTGCTTGCCTAGTGTGCACAAGGCCCTGGTTCCATCCGCAGCATCACCAAAAAAAAAAAAAAAAAAAAAGCCTGATTTAGAACTGCTGCTTCATAGCATAGGAATTTTCCAACCTTGAGGTTGAACCTGCCCTAGGCTCAAGCAGAGGGTCAGAGCTGAGCTTTAGGTCCCAGGAGGATTGTCATTCCTAATCCACTAACCTATAATGTAGTTAGATATGGTTTTGTGTGATACCTTGAGATTGGTGAGAAATTATAGGCCCTATTTGTTCTCAGCAAAGCAAACCATAAGACTGAAGGCTCCTTGGTGACTTAGGGAATCAATCAGAATTTGGAAGACACCCATGGGAGCCGTTGTCCTGAGGTGACTACATGCTTCCAGATACCAGCTCCAATGACACCCAGACAATACTTCTCTCCAGGCTCCTATTTTTCTGCAGGCTAGCCACCCGTTCAGGTTTTCTCATCGTAACAGAACCTACTTTCCATCAAAACGCCCTGACTACTTGCAAGGACAAGCACTAATCTTTTCAATTTTTTCCATGCCCACATCAGGTCACAGAGGACATAGCTCCACCTACCGCAATCCACATAGCCTTATCCTTGAGCCACATTTGTCAAAGATGATGAGGGACTTCTAATAACAAACCTATCTCGGGTACACTGATGGACAGGAAGTCAGGCGAGACAATGACTCGCAGCCCTGCTATGCTAATTTGTTGGCCAATTCATAGGAGGTGCAGCTGATGCTGTAATGATAACTTAGAGGGCAGTGGCAGCAGGAAAGTTTTCTAAAAATGGTTTTTATTACAAGGTTTTCCTGAATTTGGCTATCCCCAGGCATTATGTCATTAGGAAAAACTGATGCCTCTCAATAGAGAAAAAGAAATCTGTTCCCAAAGCAGAGGCTTTTGGAAAGCTATTAGCTGTCTTCTTAAAATCACAACATTGAAGCTTTCACAGCAACAGCATCAACACATTGTAAAGAAGCATGAGGAGCTGTTTGACTCTCTGCCTTTATTACTCATTCCTCTCGTAGGGGGAAGTGGGGGAGGAGAGAAAAGAGGACAAATCTTTTCTTTATTATTCATTCACACTTAATAAAGCAAAGCATAACCCCGATACTTAAAAATAACATCTTCCTAGTCACCAGCAAAATTGGAGGCTATATATCATTCTTCTTCCCAGGACAGAAAGCTTGATTATCTGAGTACAGATTATCCCTGAGTCTCTGAAGCTAGCTAACTTTTTCAGCTTTTTTTTTTTTTTTCCTGCATGCATTGTCTTGGTCAGAGACAAAGACTGCAAAGACTGCATTTCCTGCAGTCTCACAGGGGCTGCCTGTCGCATCGTGAAGATGAGCTAAGAGGTCTGAATTCCCTGCTCCACGCTCCATGCTCCACCTGGAGTCAGCCTTTTCCTTTCTCTCAGACTGGCTGTTAATCACTGAATCTCTGAGGTTTTGCAGCAGCCACCACTAGGAGAAAAAAGCTGACTCGTTTCTGGATTTTCTCATAAATATCTGAGACTCAGGTCATCAAGGGTTAACTATACTAAGATGGCTAGTGAGGGTACTTCACTGTTATTTTTTGTGTTATTTTGTAAAGTAATAATAATAGAGCACAAAAGAAAGTTAAACCCTTGAGATCCAACTCACATTCATGGTTCCGTTGATCTCCGCCACCGATTCATCATCTGTGGGGAATTGATAGATCTGGACCCCGTTGCTGACAAGTTCACTGGTGATTTTGATTTTGAACTTTGTTAGCTCGCTCTTAGAAATGGCATCTGATTTGGCAATGATGGGGATGATGTTCACCTAGGGAAAGAAGAAACAAAGTGGAATCGTTGTTGGTAATTGCCAACTGATAGCCACATGACCTTCTACCAGCTGCCAGAGAGAGCAGATCACCCATTGGTCCAGGACAAGTCACTGCTGTAGCCATACAACAATATACTGGGCTGGGCTGGGGCTCAATGGTAGAGTGCTTGCCTAGCATGTGTGGGGCACTGAGTTCAACCTCAGCACCACATAAAAATAAATAAATAAAATAAAGGTCCATTGACAACTAAATATATATTTTTTTAAAAAACAACATATTAAACAATAATGAGTATTTACTATGTGCTGGAGACTGAACTAAGTGTTTACATGGATTAAGACAATTCATACTGACAATAACCCCCTAAGGGGTATTATTATGACTATTTTACCAGTGACAAATTGAAGCATAGAGGTTAAGTGACCTGTCCAAAGTCACAGAGAGGTAGATAGCAGAACTAGGATTCAAATCCAAGTTTGGCCTTATTCCCAAGTCCATAAAAGTCAACCACCTCAGGTCCAAGTTGAGCTCTGGGATATCTTGGTATCAAGGTCACTGCTGGGATAATTGGAAAGATGACAGTTGAGACTCTATGATTGACAAAGGGGGGGGTGACCACACCTTGCTAATGGTAAATTGTCCCAATCCATCCAGACTAGGTTAGCCCCAGCCAGCTATGGACCCAAATGGGAACCACATGGAAGATGGCAGGTAAGGGAGGCAAGGGCAGTGCTCGGTGAGGTTGCACACCTGGCTCTCTTACTGGCAGGAGCCCAAAGCCAGCCTCAGCAACTTAACGAGACCGTAAGCAACTTAGCGAGACTTTGTCTCAAAATAAAAAATGAAAAGGGCCGGAATGTGGCTCAGTGGTTAAGTGCCCCTGGGTTCAATTCCTGGTACAAAAAAAAAAAAAAACAAGAGTGCAGTCGTTCCTGCCAGCAGATACCAGTGGGGCAGCATGAGTACTGCTCAGAGCCTGGGCTCTAAATAGGGAATCTGGGAGTTCTAGATATGATATGGAAGAGGAATCCTGCCTCCTTTGCACTTTGGCTTAGGAGTAACTCAGAAGGCTAGTACCACACAGAGCTTCAGATGCTGGGCCAAAGAAAGATTGGATCATGGAGGCACCTTCTTTGAAGTTTCTGATGGAAGAAGGGTGTCAAAGCCCTTGCCAAGGTGGAACAGCAGACAGAGCATCGGCCTTGTCACTTTTTGCCAAGTCCCCATCAGAACACTATAAACATATGTCAGAAACTGCTTACTTAATGCAGCCCACCTACTAGGCTGCCAGCCACATGGTTTACTGCTGCCCTACACAGGGGCATACCCGGCATGGTGACATTTCCAGAGCAGCCTATTATTCATGAGCAGTGAGCTCATTGCTATGAAAAATGAAAAAAAAAATTGCTCCTATTCTGATTATAGCTGAAATTCAGTTTTTTTAGTACATATGCTACCAAAAGACTATATGTAAATTAGATTTTGGTAAAATAAAATACTTTAGAGTCAGAGAGCGAGGTCAAAATCCCATTACAAGTTGTCTGACTTTGAGCAAGCTACTTGCTGCCTCTATGCCTCAGTTTTCTCATTTCTAAAATGGGAATAAGTAGTACCCACCATGCTAGATTATCAGAAAGATAAAATAATACACATAAAAAACTCATCATAGTATCTGGCACACACTAAATATTAGGAAAAAACCTAGCATGCCTGAAGCCAGATGTGGTGTCATACACCTGTAATCCCAGCAGCTCAGGAGGCTCAGGCAGGAGGATCACAAGTTCAAAGCCAGTTTCAGCAACTTAGCAAAGCCCTAGGCAACTTAGTGAAACCCTGTCTCAAAATAAAATATAAAAATGGGCTGGGGATGTGGTTCAGTGGTTAAGCACCCCTGAATTCAATCCCTGGTGCCCTCCCCCCCCCATAAAAAAGAAAAGAAAAAAGAAATGAATGCCTGAAAAAGAAAAGATAAGAAAAAAGGGGATGGCCATCTTTCTTTCTTTCTTTCTATATTTTTAGTTGTAGATGGACACAATACCTTTGTTTATTTAGTTTTATGTGGTGCTGGGAATCAAACCCAGGGCCACATACATGCTAGCAAAGCACTCTACCACTGAGCTACAACCCCAGCCCCGCCATGGCCATCTTTCTAGGCACAAAGGCAATATAAAACAGTACCACAGATCTGGATTCAAATGTAGACTCTTCCAGTAGCTAGCTATATGACAACAGGTAAGTCACTTGAACTCTGAGCCTCTTCTATGAAATGGGACGACAGGCCAGGCGTGGTGGTACATATCTAATACCAGCAACTCAGGAGGCTAAGGCAGAGAGATCAAAAGTTCCAGACCAGCCTCGGCAATGTAGCAAGAACCTGCCTCAAAATAAAAAGGGGGGGGGGGGGCTGAGATGTAGCTCAGTGGTAACATACTTGCCTAGCATGCACCCTGGGTTTGATTGCCCAGCACTGAAAATAAAAAGTCTGCTATTACAATATTACCTTTCAAATCAAATTTACATATTTAATTCAAACATAAGCTGGTTAATTCTGGGACAATGAAAAAACACTGTTTCATGGCCAAAGCCTTTGCCTCTGGACCTGGAGAGCCATTTCCCTTGCATTGATCCTGATTTCCAAGAGGGATTAGGGCAGATAGACAGCTCAGGACAAACTGGCCCCTGGTGATGAGAACCCGGATGACAAAGCATTTGACATAGGAGTTAGGCCGGTAACATCATTTTATGGAGGAACAGAGAACAAGGGAGAGGATAATGATTCCATAAAACCTCTCCTGGAATTCAGCATCTATTGCATAAAGAGATGGGTATGAGTGAGTCCTTCCACCTGCCTCCATACCTTACTGTCCAGCTTCTTCATCGTCACTAGGTCCAGAGACTTCAGAGAATGACCTGTGGGGGCGATGAAGTACAAGCAGGCGTGGATTCGGGAGTCGTGGTAGGTGTGCAGCACTCTTCGGATCTTCAGCTCCTCCTGCAGGTAGGCCTCAAACTGCGCATCAATGAATTCCACGATAGGCTTGTAGCTAGAGAGAACAAGGAAATAGCTAGACCCCTTCAAAAACTTGGATTTTACACTGTTACGGTTTGGATGTGAGGTGTCCCCTAAAAGCTCATGTGTGAGATAATGCAAGAAGGTTTGGAGGAGAAATGATTGGGTTATAGCCTTAACCTAATCAGTGAATTAATCCCTAATGGGATCAACTGAGTGGTAACTGGAAGCAGGTGGGGTGTGGCTGGAGGAAGAGGTTCATTGGGGGCATGACTATGGGGTATATATTTTGTATCTGGAGAGTGGAGTCTTTCTCTCCCTCTGCTTGCTGATCATCACGTGAGCCGCTTCCCTCCACTCACTCTTCTGCTATGATGTTCTGCCTCACCTAGAGCCCCGAGGAATGGAGCCAGCCCTCTTGTATGGAGACTTCTGAAACCCTCTGTAAACTTTTCCTCCTCTACATTTGTTCTGGTCAGATCTTTTAGTCACAGCAGCAAAAAAAGCTGACTAAAACAGACACTATCTCTTTTAGAAATGTAAAAGAACTCTGTAATCTGACTCTCCCTCATCTAGTTGGATTTCTCCATCTCTCTTCAGTGGGCATCCAATCCTGTCAGCCTGGCCACCTTCTTGGTCCCTGCATAAGCTCAATTTATGCCCACCTGTACGCCTTCACTCTAGAAGGTTTGTTTCTCTCTCCTCATCCCAATCCTCCCATCCTACACCTCAGGGCTCAGTTTAATGCCTAACTCTGTCCTACAGACTTCCCCATTTATACTAGAAACCCCTTCTGTGACCCAATAGCTTTATAAAACCATGGTACTGCCAGGTGCGGTGGCGCACGTCTGTAATCCCAGCAGCTCAGGAGGCTGAGGCAGGAGGATCACCAGTTCAACACCAGCCTCAGCAACAATGAGGTGCTAAGCAATTCAGTGAGATGCTGTCTCTAAATAAAATACAAAACAGGGCTGGGGATGTGGCTCAGTGGTCAAGTGCGTCTGAGTTCAATCCCCATACGCAAAAAGAAAAAACAATGGTACTGGATTGCTTGCCATTACTTCACAAGGATTTCTGTTCTTTCAACTCATCTGTGTCCTCATGAAGGGCAGGGTCTTGCAGGACACTTCCTCTCTCTTCCATGGTCCTGAGGCAATGGGAACCCACTGGTGGATTCCGTGAGTGGGTTGCTTTTCCTCCATGCTGGGCCCATGTCTGCTTCCTGCGTCTCCCCTCACTGTGCCTATTGTGAGAGCTGAATCCACAAGGCTTCTCCTCCATCCCCTGCTGGGAAATTCTGTCAGAACATTGTGGGATTTTTGCTCATTTTTGCTAGGTTAAATGGAATACCCCACTCAGCTCCCAGATCCAGTTTTCAATTCCTCCAAAGTTGTGATTTTTAAATTTAAGTATTCAGGGCTGGGGGTGTAGCTCAGTGTAGAGCACTTGCCTAGCATGTGCCAGGCCCTGGATTCAATACCACACACACGAATCTAAGTATTCAGACAAAATTTAGTAAAGAGACCCCCCCCCAATATGCACACACCGTCTATGCATGGCCAAGCTCATTGATTCTCCATGCACAGCACCTCTAGGTGACCACTATGTCTCATCAAGATCCCCCTCCTCTACTCAGGATTGAACCCAGGGCATTGTGCATGCTAGGCAAGTGCTCTACTACTGAGCTGAATCCCCAGCTCCTTTTTAAATTTTGAGACAGGGTCTCGTTAAAATTTTCAGGCTGGCCTCGAACTTGCAATCCTCAGCTTCCAGAGTAGCTGGGATTACAGGCTCATCATGGGTTCTTAAACAATAGTTAGCCCTCCATTGGTCCCCGCCCCGAGCTTCCTTGGAAGCTTCCCTCTCTCCCTGCCCCAAGCCCTGCCCTGGCCAACCCTGCCATCCCAATAGCCTCTTTCTGCTCTATTTAGGTCAGCATAGTTTCAGCCATGCCCATCTTCTCAACTCCCCTGTTTGGGCACTGCCTCTTTCTCTGAGGGGCTGCTTCCCTTCAGGGAAGAAGAGGTACATTCCCTGGGCCCAGGGCAGGGAGTTTGCAGATACCATTGCCAGAAGGGAACATGATCAGAGGAGGAGCTGGGTCCAACCAATGCCTCCCACCTGCAGCAGCCTCTAGCCTAAGCCTTTTTGAAAGAGCCCCCTAGTAGAGAAGGGGAAAACAGTGTTTAAAACAGAATCACAGAATCCTAGATTCTGAGAGCTACAAATACAGAAGAGATACAGGTGCAGGGTATCTCTGAAGCTGCAAAGAAAAAAATCTAAAAATATAGTCTTTGTTTTCTTCCTTTGATCCCTCTGAGCCAACACAATTCTGAAGGGTAATAGCATCAAAGGATCTCTTGGCAGCAGAGATCTTTAGAAGATTCCAGGAGATTTTCAAGTGAGGGTGAAGGATGCATTCCCTAGGCTTATCTCATTTTTAGATGATTGGCTGGTCTGAATTATCTGATCATGGCACTGCTTCATCTTTTTCTCGATTATATAACCTTTTTTTAAAATTCTTTCTTTCTTTTTACAGCATCTTTTCCTTCACAAAAGGAAACAGAGGAAATAAAAAGAGTAGGATTTTTTTTTAGCTTTTCCCCCCATGAATCTCTAGTGATATCCTGTGCCCATCTTACAACCATTGCTTCTGGCTCTCAGATTATGGAAAGGTACATGGATCAGACCAGCCCAACCAACCAATCAACCACCAGGATTTGGTTTAAAGGAATCTGACATGGGTGATTCATCTTTGTCTTAATTATCTTTGCATCCTCAATGTCTAGCCTGCTACCTGGAATATAGTAAGAATTCCACCAACTGCTCTGCACTCCCTCAAACCCACCCCCAGTGGCTCATCTTCCCAAGGTGGTCATCTCTGCCCCACGCTTCCCTGTGCTCATTGCCATGGTTAACAAAATCCTTATTCCCATAGGCAAACTCCTCATCAACTGCTTCCTTCCTCTAAGTGGTAGCTGACAGTCTTTCAAAGATGACACTTTTCTCATATCCTTCTCAAATGGACATTTCTACATGTCCCACACTCAAGTTTCATGGATCAACAGAGAGCGCATCTTTCTTCTAGCTCTTTATTTCCTGATCTATGATCTCTTCCACCTCCAACAAAACCCAGCTCCAACAGACTCTGCCTCTCCCCATCACTACTCTCCATATTTTCCCTTATAAAACATGAGTTCTAACAGGTGTGGTGGCTCATGCTTGTGATCCCAGAGGCTGGGGAGGCTGAGGCAGGAGGATAATGAGTTCAAAACCAGCCTCAGCAAAAAGTGAGACCCTAAGCAACTCAGTGAGAGATCCTGTCTCTAAATAAAATACAAAATAGGGCTGAGGATGTGGCTCAGTGGTTCAGTGCTCCCGAGTTCAATCCCTGGTACCAAAAAAAAAAAAAAAAATGTGTTCTTAACCTGGGGTCCCCCAGCCTCCAAGGGTCTATGGCTAGAATTCAGAGGATCCATGAACTTGGATAGGAAGAAAAATACATTTTATGGGCTGGGGTTGTGGCTCAGCAGTAGAGCACTCACCTAGCATGTGCAGGGTCCTCAGTTCAATCCTCAGGACCACATATGAATAGATAAAATAAAGGTATTGTGTCTAACTACAACTAAAAAAATAAATAAATATAAAAAAGAAAATACATCTTATCACTAATGTCTAACTAAATGTAGGTAACAATCTGTAGTAATATTTTGCAGTATCTGTGATTTCATAACCAATAGAAATCACTGTTCATAATTCCTATTCCAGTGGTTGCAAGTACCTTAAGATAGCATTTATATTCATCACAACTCCTCAATTCTGATAACCAATAAGGCTGTATATAGATATTATTTCAGAAATTAATAAAGAAACACATGGATTACTAAATCATCATTTCAATATAGTTTGGTAACTGTTTATTCAGTACAACTGATATACTTTAAGCATTTAAAATCGTTAGTTTGAGAATGAGCCCAAAGGCCATACCAGATTACTAAAAGGACCAAGGGTACAAAAAAAGCCTCTGATCTAGACAATACTTCTTATTCATTTCAGATAGTGAAATGCTCTACGAACATACAAAAATCTGTTATTGAAATAAAAAACAACTGGAGGTTTGGCTATTTTAAATACAGTGACCAGGGCTGGGGTTGTGTCTCAGCAGTAGAGTACATTGTGAGGCACTGGGTTCGATCCTCAGCACTGCATTAAAAAAAATAAGTATAATAAAATAAAGGTGGGGCTGGGGTTGTGGCTCAGTGGTAGCGTGCTCACCTAGCACATGTGAGGCACTGGGTTTTATCCCCAGCACCACATAAAAATAAAGACAATAAAGTCCATTAACAACTAAAAAAAATTTTTAAAATAATAAATAAAATAAAGGTATTGTATCCATCTACAACCAAAAATATTTATAAATAAATAAATACAGTGACCAAGGAAGATTCCTCTGAGGATGTGATACTTGAGCTATAAAGATGACATTTGTTATTCCCTCTACTTGGAATGCTCTTCTTCTGGATCTCTCCATGGCTCTCTCATATAACTATTCACATAACAGGTCATCATCAGCCATACAAAAAAATCTAATAATGCTATCACATGGATGAACCTTAGAGACATTATGCTAAATGAAATAATCAGACACAAGGACAAATACTGTAAGACTCCACTTGTATGAGGCACCTAGACTAGTCAATTTCATAAAGACAGGAAATCGAATAGTAGTTAGCAGGGGCTGAAGCAGATGGGGATGGGGAATTACTGATTAATGAGTTTCCTTTCAGGGTGTGGGAAAAGGTTTTGGAACTAGATAGAGCTGGTGGCTGCACAATACATAGTGATGATGGTTGTCAATGCATTAAATGGCAATGGATTGTTCACTTGAATCGTTAATTTTGTTATGTGAAATTCACCTGACAACAGCAGAAAAGAATAGTAGGAGATAAAGCCAAGAAAGGTGGCAGGAGCCACATTATGTATGATCTTGTGGGTAGGGTATAGTAAGGAATTTTTTTCTCTGTGAATTGGGTC